CTTCAGGAAATCCTCCCGAACTTCTCCTAACCCAGCCTTATGGCAAGTTTGCGTTCAAATGGCGGGAACAATCACTGGAGACAGTTTTGGTGTCATCCACCAACTGTCATCTTAGTCATATACTCATTCAATCCAGTTATGTTTTTTCTAACAGAGATAATGGAACAACTAAGTTTCCTTCTGTGACAAAGTATGGTCATTTTTGTAGTGCAGACCTATTGTTTGGAGCATTTAATGGGGGAAATCCAACTTAACAAAGAACCCTCAACAAAAAAAGCAGATCTTGCTGTGCATCTCCACTAAGATTTCAGGCCAAAGTCTGATGGGTCAAAGCATTCCCATTCTTTCGTCCTCACTGATCTACACTACAAAAATGTCCATACTTTGCTACAGAAAATAACTAATCTGTTCCATTGTCGGAATTGATTGATGATGTACAAACGATGAGCGACTCGGAGCTTTTGCAATGGCACGTCCCTAACAATTGTGAGACAGAAGACGTTGTAAGTATGATATCCTCAGTCATACCACGGATAACGGGGTCAAAGCAACTGAGGGTGGAGGGTATCGTACGATGGGTTAAATATGGGGAATCAACAATACAATGCGAATCAGGAGGATGGAACAGGAGTATTAAGGTTACAATGTAGTAAGACAGGGAACATGATTATGATTAATGAACAAGACGGGGAGAAAAAGAACGATAAGTGATAGGGTCTGTTTCATTCAACCCCCCGTGACAGAGTCGGGACTTCAACGGTTAACCCTGCTACCTCCTTCAACAATTTCACCTCGGGGTGCATGTGAAAGGGAACTGTGTGAACCTTTCCGGTCTAACTCGGGTAAATTCCCGCTTTGATTTGGTACTCTCATCGTTCTCTAGTCGGTGTAAGCCTATCCTTGCTCATTCTATAACGTTGCTCTTACTTCGTCTACACATTTCAACGACAGCTGCCACCTCATCTCACCCTCCATTGGTTGGGCTCCTATCAATATACCCACTCATGTGAGCAGCACTTGTGGCGTGTCCATCGTGTTCCATGTCACTCCAATGACAATTGTGAGGAGAAACTTGCTTCTCAAAATGTACTAAATCATTTTATTCTATCTCACTGAATGTGTCAAAAAGCGAGGCCTCTGTTCACATGTTCGCTCTTGGGAATCGCTTGGAAATAAGTACTTATATCATGACCGACATCATCATAGGCGAGTGTCGTTTTTCTCCTTCTCCCCCAATCTGCCCTGCATCATCCAGATGGCTCTACCATTTGTGAATCCTTTGAGTTACACCCACTTGTCAGCTCTCCCTCTGATTACCGTGGTCTTCTGTGCAGCAGGAACGGCGTATTTTGCCCTTCTGAGATACATCTTTCGGGGTCCTCTTGATATTTCGGATATCCCAGGACCAGTCGATAGCGCTTCGTGGTTATACGGTACACTCCATTTCTCCGTAAGGTTGCCCATACTTACCTACTGTCTTCAGGAAACCTTCCAGAGCTCCTCTTATCTCAACCTTACGGAACATTCGAATCCAAATGGCAAGAACAGTATGGACCCGTATATCACCTCAAGGGATGTTTCTCAGTTCGTATTTTTAATTATGCGCACATGAATTGTTTGATTCCATACCGCTCGAGCAGGAGGATCTTTTTTTTGTATCAGACCCAACAGCCCTCCGATATATTCTCAATGATGCTCAGCTGTTCGATATCTCTCCCAACCGGAGATTCATGAGAGCTGTCATGGCGGGGCAAGAATGTGTTCCAGCGCTGCCGACTGGTGGTAAGAACTTGAGCTTTCATCATAACTACTAGCTTTAACTCTGGCTGACGTATTTTTTTGCACGACAGAAGAGGTCCACCGTCGAATCAAGAATGCTTTTTCTGCCACGTTTGCTTCTACTCGTCTTCAGCCATATGCTCCAATCATAAGGGTGATTGCTCGAAAGGTATTCCTCTCCTTGTTCCACGCTACCGAGTCTATTGGTGCTAAGTAGTGATTTAAAAGGCCGCAGATAAGCTCACGCAGCAATGCTCGGAGAAGAGCGGACAAAGTGGCACAGTAAACATCTATCATCTCCTTCAACATCTAACTACGGACGTTATTGGTGAAGGCAAGTGTTTCGCTGGTGCTCATTTGCAGGTAACTGACCACTTGAATGTTTCCCAGTTGGAGTTGGCTACAAGTTCAATGCAGTGGAGACCGACGGAGGAGACGAAGTTGCTCAAAGCCACCAGCATGTACTGTATGTTTGAACATTCGTTAAAGTCACAGAAGATCTTACAGTCGGAAACCTAGCATGCTTAGAGGAAAACGCTCAAAGGGTGCGATCTTGGCGGAGAGTGTCATCCCATGTCTTCCTCATACGATATTAAAGCCGATGCTCCAACTCCCACTTCCCTCGTCCAGAAAGCTTCGCAACTTCCGTAAAATCAGCGGGACCTGGGCTACTGCGCTGCTTACAGGCAACCTTGACGGAGGAAATAGTACAGATGCTGGGCTTTGGTACGTGTACGGTCCCTACATCATGTGCGCCCCACCAGCCTCAAATCGCGAACAACCTCCAAAAACGCGAACGGCTGTCATTCAATGAAATAATTCAACAAGCCCCAGCACTTTTAGCTGCCGGACAGGACACAACTGTACGTGTAGTGACTCCGACTCGACGTCCTTTCGGAATCGGTGCTTTAGTATGACAATCCTGATTTGTGGCAACTTCAATAGGCGACTGCATTGGCGTGGGGGCTGCTTGAACTTGCAAAGAGACCCACTTGGCAAGATCAAGTTAGGAAAGAAATCATCGAAGCACAAAGGTCGGACTTAGGTCTTGACAAGCTTGAATACCTCAATGCACATATCAAGGTGAGTTCTTAGTCATATCCGTTACCTTTTTTTTTGCACTTGTCCGATTACTATCCCACAAAAATGAAAGGAAACCTTACGCTTTCACACGAATGGACCTCTTACTGAGAGGATGGCTTATAAAGATGCGGTTCTTCCGCTGTCCCGTCCAGTAACCACAATCTCGGGTCGAGTTATCACAAAATTGCCAATTCGTAAAGCCAGATAGTGTATATCGGAATTCATGCTTTCAACCGGTATGATTCTTGGCTTTCGCGCTCTAACTTCTTCAGATTCAAACACTTGTCACTACGCAGGGACCCAGATATCTGGGGCTCGGATGCCAATGTGTTTGAACCACTACGGTGGCTCGATGGTCGATACAACTCGGCCAATCTTCCAGGGATAGGGCCATATTCTATTCTGTGAGTATTGTTAGATACATTACATGCCAGTCTCCATTAACCACACGTTTCAAAGTGCTTCTTTTTCTGGGGGGACTCGTGTATGCCTTGGGTAAGCACGGTCGATTCACTTTTTATTCTCGTCGTCTTTTGACTTCTCGAAAAACTTGCCACTTAAGTTGGCGACTTGTGTACGTATATATATATATTAATATCTTCTTCTGGTGACGTTCTGACGAACATTCTTTCGTAGTATTCAAGAGTTGCAGGTCGTATTGACCGAATTCATCCCAAAGTTCCGCTTCAGCCTTACTGCAGAGCAAGAGAAAGACGTAACTTCATGCTTTGCTTCTCCTGCCTATCAGTGTAGCGAGTGGAAAGCCGAGCCTTTCGATGGTTGTGGAGCCGGTTCAGGCTTTCGATTGAAGGTGTACCCCAAACTAAGCTCAGTTCCCGCGATATGTATAGGTTTCCGACGTACTTCAAGTCTCCGGGTGCAATATTGCATGTAAGGTCCATATGAAAAGAAATTCGCTAATCGAAGCAAATGCTCCACGTCTGGTGTATAGGTGGGAACGCTTTGACTCTGGGCATAGCCAAACCTTGAAATCACGCGTCCTCAGCTCCATGCCGTCCGTTACTGGCCGACGATCCCACCACAGGTCCGAGGCAAAGGCCAAGCATCAAAATTTCGGAAAACAAATAAGACATTGCCATCTCGGGAGGTTCGGGCTGTGCAAGTATGCGTGATACCGAACGAACAGTTCCAGTCCATCGAGTACGTTATGATAAAAACACGTCATAAATGCATCGGGCCCAGTCTCTGGCCAAGGCAGCGGTGTGAGAAGACAGAAAATTGTTGAATGTACAGAGTATGACTCGGTCTCGGTAGGCACCGGGTCAGAACTCAAATGTATTAGTACACGCTTAACCTCGAAGTACCTTCGCCGAATCAGGTTTTCATGAAACCCTGATTCATATTATTCTGAATGTTTTCAATGTCTATTCACTTGTTTTTGTTCAATAGCTTGAACTGAATATGACCTCTCGAGCCCCAAAGTCTCCATCGACGCGGCATGCCCAACCCACGATCAACCAAGTGACTCGGATAATCGTCCATCACATTTCACGTGTGCGTGACGTTGCGTGCCATTGAGTTGCACTGCCTTCCGGTCCGCTCTTACCGTCCTCTCCCACTCTCCAAGTCGGCAAAATCAAGCAGTTATCTGTCGTTGCAGTTCTGGAATATCTTTCATTGCAGCTGCCATTTCACTGCTGACCCCCTGTCTCTCCTCAGTATCCGTTTAAAACAGGTTTTGTCCTGCCTGTTCCCTTCCTGTTGGAGGACTTGGTGCTTTCTCGTACAATATTGGAGCAAGTGATTCACATCCCCACCGAGCCGTTTAGGACACTTCCGAAGCATCAGTGGTCTACGAAGCTGCACGAAGACAGTCTTGGAGACAACAGAAATACGGAAGCTCCGGGGCGGTCGAGGTGGGTCGATAGGGACTCCCATCGACAATATTTCCACAACAAACGCTTTTCTTGCCACCACGAAGCATCCCTGAAAAAGAGGTAGCGCGAACCCGGATAAAGTCTCGGCGGACGGCTAGTCATTGGCGCCGTTTCAGAGCCCCTTTACATGGTGAATGTGCCCAAGTTGGAGCGTCAGAGCGTTCACTTTCAAATGGTCACCAGTACCATGCAGTGGTCTAACAGATTAGACTTGTATGTTTGCCTGTCGCACCTTATCCAGGCCTAATGGTCTAGTAGTATGATTCTCGCTTTGGGGCCTTCACGATCGCTTCCTATGCGAGAGGTCCTGGGTTCAATTCCCAGTTGGGCCCTTTTTTGTTTTGCATTTTTATATTTGACATCAAACCCGTAAAACGTTCCTGGCGGCTCTCAGAGGAGGAAAAAACAATCAAAGAGGTACAATGACGACAGTGGGATTCGAACCCACGCCCCGAAAGACTAGATTCTAGGAGGACCTGATTCTAGCGCCTTAGACCACTCGGCCATATCGCCTAAATAGATAAGGAAACGTACGCTATCACGATATTGATAACGATTGTTAGAGTAGGAGACTTCGCTACGGAGTACAGTAATTCACTACAGGTCCTGATTCATGCCCACCGATACAGAAAGTTTCGTAGCTCAATGAGTCCATCTTGCCTCCATCCTCATAGCCTATGATACTGATACTTCTGCTCAGCTCGCCTGACCACAGCCTTGGCAGGCGGCTGGAGGCGTCACCGTGGAGAACGGGACAAAAAGACGTACAAGGCAATCATGGTCTAGGACACGCGGTGCTATAAGTCAATACCTGACTAGCGAAATAGCTGCACGCTATACGTGCCGAAAAACTACTACTGGAGATTTGGTAGCCGTGAAAAAGACCCGTGTTGGTCGAGAGTGCTACTACTTGCGCTGGAACATCGATGGTTTTGTACTGTTTACTCTGATAAACTCGAATTCCAATGGCACCAGAGTAGACAATGCGGTGAGCGCAAGTTTTCTTTCAAAAAAGATGACAGTCGCGAGGGCAACGGTCAGGGCCAAGAATGAGTGGGATTTGAAGGATGGCATGTCGAAGAGCTGTGAGTAGGCCAGTCGTAATGAGGATTTGTATTTGAGTCAAGATGTCGTTTCGAGCTCTAACAGGCGCTGTCAACTCGGTTTTCGATCTGGTCCGGGCCAAGCACGCCACATCCCTTGAGAAAGAGAAATTGTCTCGATACTAATGTTAAGGCGAAGTCGGCTTCTCGTCTTCTATGTTAAAGCCCCGAGGCACCAGTGCGTCACTTCCTCTTCACTACTAATCAGCCTAATCATTCAGTCCGGTGGAATGATAATCGCCGAAGTAGGCAGTATAAATACCGTCAGTTGGGTGGAAAGAAGTAAATTCAGCTCAAACTCCGTAAGAGCTACAATAAATGAGATGGTAGCCGAAAACCGATTTCGGAGGAATGAGAAAGGAATGCATGACGCACCTAGAATTGGAATCGGAACTTACTCTAAACTGTGCAAGGCTATTTACCTGAGCGAGGCCTATTTCAGAGTCTTACTGCATTGAGCAGATCCCTGCGTTGGATCATTGAGCCCGTTTGTCCGCCTTGATCTCTTCGAGCAGAGCTAGCGATGGGGAAGGGGAAGAGATACCGTGAGAAGAAACCAAAGGTGTGAAGTTTATGTAATCAGTATTCTATGGTCTGATTCTTTCTTTCTCCATCGACTTCCAGTCTCATTAAACGCTATTTCGGCATAGATCATAGCAGACAGCATTAAATCCGAGCTCAAACGAGACGCAAAGAGGAAAAGCGGACGTTCTTTGGACACCGCGGTGCGCTAAAACTCCAGACCTGACTCTCAAATCCTCTCACTGAACTCGAAAGTTAGGATTGTATTTCGTTTCCGATTTTTGCAGCAATTTTGTTATCCAAAAGCTTTACCGGTCTTCGAGGACAGTATGATCAGCATTAGACTCGAGCGCAATTTTAGTGAGGATTGATTAACCTCTTATAGCCTTCAAATTTCTTCGCGAGGAACGAGTAGCACAAAAACTCAAGGAAGACGGGACTGACGCGAACATGTTGGCGAATTAACCCGGCGTTTAGATTTAACCAGTGTTTCGTTCTCTCTATATGAACCCGACATCTAAAGTAACCCGAAGAATACTCGAGCATACCAGACATCTTACGGCTTACCCGAGCGGTGAATACGACAAGAGAATACCCCAGATTATTGCCTGCCCTCATGGTCTGTGGCTTCTATTCGCAAGGAAGCTTCCTCATCTCCAACTAGAAGCCTTATCACCCGGAAACTCTCGTTAGAAGTTCACTAGTGTGAGTTTCTCCCCGTTAAAAACCTACTATCGATACTCGTAGTGTGTGGATAACACCTCTGTAGTGGTTTTGGGCTTTATTATTACCATGGGAGAACGGAAGTGTTACGGGATCTGGAGTTTTATGGCTGGATAGTGCAGCACGATTGCTTGAGGTGTGGCGGCCGAACTTGACGATAAAACGCGGAAGGACACTCACACTCTCTACCAGAGAGGCTTGAATTCCTCCCTCTAGCGTTGCCATATGGTCCCACTCAAACGACTTCTCTTCGTTTACTTCAGCGTCCTCTACACCAAAGCCATCTCTTGGCCGGAAAGCTCCAAGTATACCACACATCGCCCCAGACAGATTGGTGCTGGCCTGACGGTAGAGGTCTTCCATGACTACAAGGTATGTTACGGCCCTTGCGTACCAAATATGACGCTAAGGAGTGACCTAGACGTTTGGTCCCGGTCTTGAATTGTCTGAATCACTTCGAGGAGTCAGCATTCATGACCGGTCTGTTGCCTTCGTCTCGTCGCAGTTGAGCATAGACACTTCGAAGGTGGCCTTCAAATCAGGCTATGAAAACGATGTCGGATGGGTTGGGTATGTGAAACAGATGCACGTAGGTCTCAATTATGTGGTCGAGGCGATGCCATTCTGACGTCTTGAACTTCATCAGGATGGTGATGGTGTACCCTTCGTGAATGCTGTGGCCAATGTAGCATTTAAAGATAACAAGGTCGTAGCTTTCGGGCAGTCATTCGTTGACACCAGTATGTCTCTCATCTTCGCCAAACATATTGACAAATAACCTTAATGCTGCTTTTCACGGTAGACAACATTGCACCTTCTATTCCTGCCGTCGATGTCAGCACAGTTATCCCCAAGATCGAGGCTTCTCTTCAGGGAAAGCGCAATAACATCAACCCCACAATCGGGTACCTCGTCCTCCAGGATGGTAAAGTTGCCCTAGTCCATGTTTTCCAAGTACGGAATCAGGAATCCGGAACTTGGTATGAGGTGTACGCAGACGCCCATTCCGGTGACCTTCTCTCTGTCACCGACTTTGTTGCAAAAGTTAGGGTGTGTGTTTCAGTGGTATCTTGAACTCTAGCTCGCCTGACTTACACATTCTTAGTACAAAGTTCTTCCCATCTGGAAAGAGACCATAACGCAAGGCCTGGAGATCCTGGTCGATCCACAGAACATTGCTTCGTCTCCTCAAGGATGGCATAGTGATGGGGCGGTGAAAACCTCGTACGTCATGCTGCTTATTGCTAGCAGAAGCTCTTTTATTTACTTAGACTTTTTGCTTAGTGGAAAAACAATGTCGTTGCCTACAAATCTAATCAGACTGCAACCACTTTAGAATCCAACTTCCGGACGACTTACGATCCTTCTAAGGCAGCAACAACTGCGAAAAACCTGGACGCCGCCCGCACAAACGGATTTTACGTGGCCAACACATATCACGACGTATTATACCAGTACGGTTTTACAGAAGCGGCATTCAATTTTCAAGACAATAACTTCGGAAAGGGAGGCGTTGGGGATGACCGAGTGCTGATGAGTGTTCAGGATGACAGTGGAACCAACAACGCTTATTTTGAAACCCCTCCCGAGTCAGTTCCCCCTTCGCGATTTTGACTATAGTCTATTGAACCCTTGTCAATAGTGGTCGATCTGGACTGTGCGCAATGTTCATTTGGACGTTGACGCAGGTAAGATGTTATCTGAATCCCCCCACCCGTTGTTGCTGATTCTCTGTCAGCCCACTCGTGACGGTGTAATAGAGAACGATATACCGATTCACGAAATGACGCACGGTCTTACCAATCGAATGACCGGTGGGGGTACTGCAACCTGCCTGCAAACACTGGAATCGGGTGGTATGGGCGAGGGCTGGTCTGATGCTGTTGCCGAGTACGTTCAAGTTGTCATTTCGTTCACCCCATGGATGTTGCACTGAATCTTGGTCTTTCGTATCTAGCTGGTTCGCCCATTCAAACTCTTCTCAAATCAGTGACTTTGTGTTGGGTCAATGGGTTACTAACAACCCGGCTGGCTATAAGGCGTGTGAGGGGGTGGCTTCAGATCACTCGAATGAACACGACAAGGGATTTAGACCGTTGGTATGTACTGGTACAAGTGAAGAAGTGAAGCTAAGGTAAACTACGTACACACGGGCTTAAATACGGAATGAGTGGCAATGAGACAAAGAGATGTAAATACTGATTGCCGATACGACAACTACGTAGACGCGTGGGCCATAGGCGTTACACCCTCCCCCACCAGATTGAGTCTATGGGCTCAATCGTCAAACATGAATAAAATATTTGAGTGAGTTGAATTGAACTCACAAAATTAGGCTTCGTTAGAAGCACTGGGGGCGCTGTTTGACGCCTCCGACATAGTTGTATCTTGATCATCGTTCGAGGGAATCGACACGTTGCCTGAGTCAAGAGTAGTAGCAACGGGAACTGTCACAGTTCCCGGAGTGGTAGACGTTGGGGGAGAAGGGTTGGGAAACGAATTAGCGGGAGCTGTCGCAGTTCCCGTAATATCCAAAATCAAAATTGAAGCCGCCAGTTTGACTTCAATAGTGCCATCAGAACGATAGACGTTGTCATCCAGACCGGCAGGGATGCTCTGAGTCTGGAGTAGAGGGAGAAGTCGGGAATGGAGCTGACTCCACTCATAATCATTATGAGCGTCGGGAGATGGAGTGGAATCCGTCAACCACAAAAGTGAAAAGAGCGCGCAGTCATCGAGAATGATGGGCTCCACGCATTATAAGTGTAAAAACTCACAAAGAGTGTGTAACGTCAGGTTACTGACGTCGCCTTTGAATGAATCAATGGCAGGAGCCAGAAGAATGATAGGATTGGCAGTGATGTACGCGCCGTAATAGCCTGGAGTAAGGCACAACTCGACGAACACACGTTGATATTTCATACGGTGTTGTGGGGAGGAACCGGATCGGTGAGTTGGTGAACGCAGATAGAGTTTGCGCAAGCCA